ACGGATATGGAAAAAAATGCTATTGTATGAAAAACCTTAATAATATAATTTAAGAAATAACATAAATACACACACTAGTATACCTAACAAACTGTTATGCAACATTGCAGATTTTATAGTAACGAACGATAACTACAAGAATTGGAAAAACCGAACATATTACTCACGGAAAACATTCTTACTCGCAATCTATGCCTTGATGTTATTGTTTTTTTTTTGTTGATTTGTCGATATCGTTAAATAAAAATTGTGGCAAATAATATTTTAATTGCTATTGAGAAATTTCTAAAAGTTTTGCAACAATGCTGAGTCATAAATAATTGCTAATCTGAAGCAAGGCAGGTACTGCTTCGGTTTGTTATTTAAATGTATGTAAAATAAAAGTTTCATAAACTTCAGGCGAAATTTATTTGTTATAATAATACATAATTTTCTTTTAATGTTACTGTACAAATTGTTAATACAGTTAGAATCATGGATAATCTAAATACTTTGTTTTAAATCGCACCACTCAGTGTGTAAGTAGATATGTGCAACACTGTAACACAGTTGATAAAAAAGCCTGGTACTTTTTCTAGCTTTTTTTTTTAAATATGAACCCATTAGTAGAATTAGTGACCGAGGCATTCTGTTACTCCCGGGAACAGATTCTTGGTTTTTCGGCCAACTTTTCCTATTCACGTAAGTCATCCTCTTTTTTTTACTTTTTGTTTCTTACTTATTAGTTTATATTGAAAATCGCTATGGCATGCTGAATGTACCTTTAGAACATAGATTTGGTATTTTTATTTTCTGACCTTTCGTAACTCCGACAATAGGAAATAGTAGGTATCCACAACCGTCTGTTGTCTGTCGTCTGCTGGTGATTTTACTTCACAGTCGTCTCCGAAACTACTGAACACAGTCTGTTATGGAACTTTAGATTCATTTTAGGAATATGGTGTAAAAGGTGATGGCACTATCTCAAAATTTTGCTAAGTAAATCCTACTTAACATGCGCAAAATTGTATGCTCATAACCTGTGATTTATTAATTCAGCTTTATTTTTAACCTTGAGTGTGTATATATTGGGAAAAAACAATTTATCTTGGGAACTACAAAATTGATTGCGGTAAAATTTCACATCCGTTAATCAGAATTTATCAGTTTATCCTTTCCAAAAACTTAATAACGTCATAATCGAAAAACACAGTATTTCAACTTGCTTGTAGTAACCTATTTTTTTAAATGAAAAATAATGAATGGTAACATATAGATACAACAAATATATTTTCCACTCTGGAGAAGGCACCGTTTTCAGTTATTATACATACATATATGGGAGTGGATTATATATTTCTACGCGTTTCGATTCCTTAAAACAAAAGAAACAAAATAAAATTAATATTGGAGACTGACTAATAATAATAATACAAAATATTTTTAACACATAAAACAAATAATTTATCAGTAATATCGGACCCTTAGGACATTTTCAGTAAACTCTGAAAACAGCCTTATAGATACATGGCTTTTTATTATTTTTTGAGCGTAAACTAAGGAAGTATTGTAATAGGGCCCATCCGGCCAACAGCTACTTTAATGTTTTCTCGACGTTTCATGATACTTAGAGTAGAAAAAAATAGGTCTGTCGCTCGTCTGTCGTCTGTCTGTCTGTGCCGATGTTTATTAGACAGATAATCTCCGAAACTACCAATTTTATATAATGTATATTATATAACCAAAATTTATCTAATTCTTCCCGCCAACAATGTGATGACGTCGCAATTTTTAGGCAGTAAATGTTATTTAAATTGTATAAAATAACATTTACTATGAAGTCTATGAATCCGTCTCGATTTTTAACCCCAGACAACAAATTAAAAAACAAAGCCAAATTTATATAACACCATTTTACAATTTAACTTTGAAACTACAAAAACGAATGCCCTGAAATTCTGCAAACGTTTTAAGAGTATCGTAATCATGGTAAATCGCTAATCAAAATTTATCCGTTTATCCCATCCCAAAAAATTGATGACGTAATTTCAAAATTTTACTGAATATATCCCATCGAAAATATGCACAAATTAAGAGTCTTTTGTATACTTGTTGTTCATCAGTGAGTTCGTATTTTTTAGAATTACGTATACAGGCTGACTCGAAAAAAATAATGAATGATCAAATCAAGATCGGCCAACCCCAATTCCCCGAAAATTTGTACTGTTATTATTAGTTTTACACTGCACATGCTTTAATACTACACACATATCTTTATTTTAACTCATACCGTAATATCATAAAAAATTAAAATTCGCAAAACCAAATTTTATCATTTTTCAGAAAAGCTGTAAATGTTTTTGACAAAAACTGTAGGTAAAGCATGTTATTTAAATAATAAATAAAACTAAAGCTATAAGCTTAGTATACTGTTACATATTCAGATACTCACTAATTTAGGTACTTTTGACTTTTCACTAGATGACATGTAGAATTTTTGTAATAATCGTGGAAACTTAGTGCACCAAAGAGTCGAATAATCGTGATAAGACTTACTCCTCAATCATTATCAATTTATCACTACATAAAAATGACTGTAAAACCCATGATACAAGTAAATATGGTATGGACATCCCATGAACCAAAACTCGTCTTCTTCTGCGCAACGTTATCTGACGTCATGTGGAATGAATGACCTTCCACTTCTGTGTTGACATCTGATGTCAAATATCAATTTTAAGGGTTATGAGGCAGTTATGAGTTTTTGTGGTTATGAGGGTTATTGTTTATTGTTACCAAACTGATGCGTAAAAACAAATTGGTGGTTTGCTAGCGACCTAGCGTTGTTAAAAAAATAGCGGGGATGATAGCAAATAATAAGAAAATATGTATATTTCAGCCGAAGATACTCTGCAGAATAAAAATTGTGAAACATTGCAAATTGTTTTTACACTGATTGTGAATAGTAATAATAATTGTACAAAGAATCTCGTACATTTGGTAAGTACAAACCAATAATTTAATACACAACTATTAACCAGTATAGCGATCCTGTTACTGTCATTTGGCCGTCAATTGCCTTGGTGGTAACACGTCTTCCACGACTGTTTGCTGGTTACCGGTGACACTTTCTCGTTGAATAGGGCTGGAGTTACTTTGGGACTGGAATAGTGTTCTTTCCGGTCCGTTAACTCAATAATTCTAGTACAGTCTGTCGTAACCTCAAATCGTAAACACATAGTTGACAGATAGCGAAAATTACTAGCCTCGCGCTATCTTTGTTTAACACATAGGTTAGGTTCCTCTCTGTCGAATTCCGACCACAGGCAGTTTGCCGTACTTTCTAAAAGTAGTAGTAGATCTAGTGACTTTAGTTGGGCTCGGTAAATATTTCAATTTCCCGCCTGAATACAGCCAGGTGACGTCAGCAAACCTGCGTATGTCCATACCATATTTACTTGTATCATGGTAAAACCTATGAACTTTTTTATCTCAACGAATTAAAGTTTTATGATATTAAAATTTGCCTTTAGGTTTATCACTGATTTTCAACGGTAGTCTTTGTATTACGTGTAATGTTTGTATATTTTTTACAATATTTGCTTTAGTATTATTTTGTTTCTAATCCTGGTTTCCTAAACAACCACTGAGACGAAAATTGGATTTGGTACAATTCATTGGAACTATGTACATTTTGTGTTGTTTATTTTTTTTTTTTTTTGTATTTTTGTCACAATTTTTTGTAAATTCTGTTGCTGTTTCATTCGAATGAATTATTCGTTGTTAATTGATTTTATGAAAATCCTCTACATTGACCTAATTTGTGTTTTCAGCATGGAAACTATAATAATATTAATAATAATAATAATTTCTGTGCCCTTCTCATGCAGTGACTGCGAACATATTAAATATAGAGCATAGCAGTTCTAAATGACCTAGCTTTAACATTATATTTAACAAATTCCCATTACCTTTATCCTTTTTGTTCCGATACGATAATGGAGACGAGGTTTAAAAATTCTGGTTTACCTTGTTACGTTTTCCTGCTGTCGATGATTTTCTTACTTGAAAATATAAGTATGCATATGAAATATTATCTTTGCCTGAAAGCAAATTTAGATTTCAAAAATCATTTTTTAAAATCTTATAACAATTAAACTAAAAATACCTACTTTTAAAAAAATTGGAAATATCCAAAATTCTTTACTCCAGCTTTTTTAATTTGGATCAGTGCTGTAAAACAATACTTACAGTGAGTTGATTGTTTCCCAATAATTATCAAATTCAAAAACATTTAAAATTTGTTAAAAATTCTTAGAAAGAATTGCAAAACTCTCCAAAAATGGCACATAATTTATGAACCGTCATGGAAAATTGGGAACCTAAAATCAGGTCAAAATCCCATATTTTCACTACAAAATCAATATGTTAAAGAACAATTATTTATTTTATGCATTTTTACAGAAATACCAACTGTACAATCACCATAGAAGTAAATATTTTTTCATTAAAACGTATAAACATAAGTAACTGCAGCGTAATTGAGATACCTAACAATAACTATGAAAAACGAAGATTATCTTCTTGTTTTTTTGTTGTCTTGAACTATGACCCTGAAATTTTGAAGCATATTCAATATTACTTATAAACAGACACAAAAATTATTCCTGTACTTACACATCTGACAAATATGAAATATTCTACTACTGAAACAGAAAAGTGAAAATTCATACGAAACAATTAGTTTACCCAAATATATTTTAAATAACCTCCCGAAAACAATGTACCCACTTGGTGTGAAAAATTTTGGAAGTACATACCAACATGACAGGCAAATTTACAGTTACAATTACTAGTAAAAAATATTTTCTTTGTAAACTGAATACGCATTTGTCTGCGATCCATTTGTCAACATTTAAGATAAAAACTTTAATTTCGTTATACTGGTGAGAATTAAACATTTACTCAGAAAATTACACCTTTCTGCCACTACCGTTTTATCACTTTGGTAGAGGTGGAACTTCAGGTATATACTTAACGGTATACACTTCCACCGGTTTTTGCGAGTGTGCTTGCATTGTGAAAGTAAAAAGAACTTAAGTGCACCGGAGGACGCATTACCGGCTTTCATGACTAAAAATATTCCAGAAGGTAAGTGCAACTGCTTACCAGAGTAAATTTTATTCAATAGCCATTCGAGATATCTCTGCCCGTTTTAAATAAGAATAAAAAATGAGATATCACCTGTCTGAACCACTTTATCAAATATTTGCACATTATTTTTTCGAATTATTAGTGCTAAACATCACAGTTGTTACTTTCGACTGTAATAAAGTGTTATCTGGACACGAACTCATAAAAAAGTCAATATTATGTAGGTGTCAATGTTGTAGTTTTGTGTAATGAAACGTCCGTTCTAAAGAAAAATCGAAATATTTCGATAAGAGTAAGTGAAAATAATTATTACCTTGGTGTATACAATTATTTATTTCCGTCACAGCCCAAAATTATACTATACTAATTGCATAATAATTATTTTGCTTCGTCTAAGACTCTGTGCGTGTAGTGATTTCAGTGCTACCTGTTTGAGCACCGTTTGTGTGGATTCGGGATTTTACACTTATCGTACTAATTAAGATTAAAATAATCTTTTAAACGGTTGAAAACAAAGTAATTAATTCTAATAGATTTAATTTTTGACTTCAACTTTAATTGTTATTATTTTATGACTAGAATTGGGTTTTGTTTCAGATATATAACGTATTAATTTTTAGTATGCTTTTTATATTAACGTGTTTAGTAAACAGTGAAAATAAGTCGTCGGTAAAGGTCACTTCATTTTTACTTTTGTCACCATGTACTAGACCCAATCATTGCCAGCTTTTGTTTTGCAAGACTGCTTATATTCAACATTCGTCATTATTGTTGCATAATTTATTTAAGTACTAACCAGTAACAGTTTACCATCGTGATGGCCATTTGAAACGAATTATAATCAGTCTAATTCATTCTTGTTAGTCACGTTTTTCGTTTTCTAGGAAGAATTATGGTCTTAGATCTTTCATCATTGTGACAACGCGGTCAACAAAATGGGTCCAACATGTCCCAAGGGTACCTAATTGTTTACAAATGAACAAATAAATATGAAAAAGTCTGTTTTAGGTTTAATTTCTACACGATTCGTCATAGGTGTGATGCTCTTTACAGCATGTTTTGTCACATACACCATGCGAGTCAACATGTCTATCAACATTATAGCGATGGTGGAACCCGCCAGAACGAATGGAAGTCTTACCGAACCTGAATGTGTAGTTGTCAATAGAATAAGTAACAACCAGACTTTAGGAAATGAAAGTGCCGAAAAGTTGACTTCAGTTCCCGATGTAAGTACTTAGTTATAAGTGACTTAAGGGAATACACAAATCTTTTACTTTTAGTACGGGACGAGGTACGAGTGGGATTCAAATTTGCAGAGTCTCATTTTGGGGTCCTACTTCTGGGGCTACACGATTACGTGTATTCCTGGTGGAGTTTTAGGCGAAAAATTTGGACCTACCAGAACTGTAATGATAGCAACACTAATTTCTGGCTTTTTAACCCTTGTAGGTCCGCTTGCGTCCTCATGGCATTACGCTGTTTTGATATTATCGCGTTTTCTGACTGGAGTGTGCGGGGTACTGACTTATATAACGATTGGATGTTTCATACAACATGACTGTGATTCTAGGGAGTAATTTATCCATGTCTTCATTGTCTGGTGTCGCGCTGGGCACCTCCAGAGGAAAAGGGCAAATTTATAGGGTCACTTTTAGGTGGTACCCTAGGAACCGTAGCAACCTGGCCGCTTTTAGGGGCCGTTATTGAGAGTCTTGGTTGGTCATGGTCATTTTTCATTAATGGTGGTATTGTGATAGTTTGGTGCATTTTTTGGATTCTGTTGGTGTCTGACAGTCCTGATAAACACCCCAGAATAAGCGAAGAGGAAAAATTGTACATAGTTAGAAGTTTAGGAGACACACTAAAACCGACAAAAGTATACCTGTGTCCCTATTTAAAGTATTGATACTAAAACTTTGTATTTTTAGGGTTTGCCGCCATACAAAGACATTTTCCTATCCATTCCATTTTGGTCTCTTATAATTTTACACTTCGGAAACCTCTGGGGTTTATACTTTTTAATGACAGCCGGTCCGAATTTTCTTTCGACGGTTTTGGGTTTTAATCTTGGACATACCGGAATTTTAGCAGCACTACCGTACTTGGCTAGATTAATTTTTGGTTTTATTTTTGGACTTATTGGAGACTTTATCAGACAAAGAAAAATCCTATCTACGATAATGGTTAGGAAAGGATTTATCCTGTTTTGTAAGTATTTCCGCTCAAATTACACACCCATTACAATTTTCTTGAATGTAGCTCACATTGTACCTGGAGCACTACTTCTGATACTAAATGTAACCGGATGTGACGTAAATTGGTCGATCGCCCTCCTTACACTATCACTCGGCTCCAATGGCGCTTCCACCTTAACAAACTTACAAAACTCGCAAGATTTAGCGCCAAATTACGCAGGTACTCTTTACGGTATTGCAAACTGTATTGGCAGTACTACCGGTTTTATCACGCCGCTGATTGTGGGTCAGCTAACAGCCGAAAACGTAAGAAGTCAATTACTTTTGCTCTGTTTGTTTACTCGATGTTTATAGAATGGTTTGGACGAATGGCACATCATTTTTTGCATCGGAGCTCTAGTCTATATCGTGTGTGGCTTGGTATTTTGCGTTTTTGGGAAGGCGGATATCCAAGTGTGGAATGCAGCCAAAGAAATAGACGATCTGCAAAAGGGCGGCGTTCCAAATCCTGCTTTCGATAACGCGAGTGAAGTTACAATGAAAGTGGAAGACAGTAGTGATGAAAATACCAAAGTCTAAAAAACAATGAATATTTATGTCGATACGTGAAAATTGTTATAATGTATTTTTAACAGGCGTGGTACAAAATTAGTAGTAAGAAATTGTTGTCTTTCACTTTGTGTTGATTTTACGTCAGAGGAAAAGTACCAATGAAAGTGTGGTGTGAAGCGAAAATGGTTTAAATAAATATGGGACACGTGTGTAAACGCTTAGATGGACAATAAAATCGCTGTTTAATTGCTAGTGTTATTGTCTGAGATATAATCGATTTATTTATTTAGCTCATCTTCTTTAAAAGATGTAATAATGTTACTCAACATTTCGAACTCTCCAATAATAAATGTTTTTACTGTTAGTAATAATATACTCATAGACTGACATGTTGTACAAACTACTAATTATCCAAGTGTACAATGCTGAGGTACGTTCCATATGTATCGATAAGATAGGTACATTTCAAATGTATCGATAAGGGAGTACTTTACCATATCGTAAAAGGCACTATTTCATTATTATTATTATTATTATTATCATCATTATATACCTAGCAACCTGACCTTGTATAATATGGATCCATTACCTAATGTAAAAAAGTGCAGAAAATTATTTCACAAAATATTATTGGAACTACAAAATAACCATTTAATCGATGATTAATGGAAATAGTTAAGAATAATAATAATTAATGAAATGCAAGAAAACATTCATACTGCTGAATTCATGCTGAGGATTAATTATTGATAAACATTACTATAAACAAACATAAAACATAATTGGAACTTTCCTTGTCCTTACAACATAACAAGCTTTTCTGATGTTTATAAATTAAAATAAAATTATGTCCGTAGTGTTAAAGCAAACGTAGTAAAAGAAGTATGCTGTGTGTATGCTTCAAGTGAGTTTTTCAGTTACAAAATGATCAACATTTTAGCAAGGACACATAGTATATCAGTTTGTGTACGTATGACACTAATATGAGAGTGCTATTTCCCAATTCTCTGTATAAGCAGTTCTATAAAATATGAATGCACTGACAACCACAAGTGCAGATTCATAATACCAAACATGTATTTTGCACATTTTAGACAGGATTTATTCGACAAAATTTTGAGATGACATCACACAATTTTGAAAGGAAATTTTGATTAACGATTTAGATTTTCCACCATGCTTACCATAAGCTTAAAACGTTTGCAGGGTTTCCGAGCATTCGATTTTGGAATTTCAAAGTTAAATTGCAAAATGTTACACAATTTTGATTTTTTTCCAAACACGTGGATGTCGAGAGTAAAAAATCAAGACGGACTCATAAACTACACGTGTAGGAGTATATTATTATATAAAATATACTATGTAGTATATAATATATCGGGTGTGTCAAAAAGAACGGAAGGGGATTTTAGCATATGTTCTAAGTGTCTCATAGGCTAAGATTTTGTATATAAAAAAAAAACGTCCTCTACTTTTTTGTTTCAAAGAGACACCCCCGATCATATTAAGCCATATTTTCAACAGGTTTGTTTGGCGTCTCAATTTTTTTTAACAGAATATTTAGTTTTAGAGATACATTTTGTCTGGCTTCCAAAAGCCCTAACGAATGACTCAAAGAAGACATTTTTTTCTTTCTTTCGTGTTCAACGAATGCTCCAAATCAGCCCTTCTTATTAGACTTCGTCCTTTTTGACACACCCGATATAACATTTACTACGTACAATTTTGAGGTAACGTCATCACTAGAGAGCGGATTTTATGAAATTTGCATATCCGTAATTTTTTGCATATAAGTCTTGATATTTAATATGTGAACGAATCATGCTAATTAAAAATGAATACAGCTATAAAAAAATTGCATATTTGCATATATTTGCCTTCTGCTGCATATTTCACATAACGGGTGCATATTTTGCATTTTTATCAATTTTTGTGCTAATTTGAAAAAAAAAATGTCATTCTATCGGCATTTATCTAGAAAAACGTAATTTCATGAATCATATTGCAAATATTGTCCTGAGCTTCAAATAACACTAGTAAAGGTTTGGGTTTTATGGTAGTTTGGAGAAACCACGGGGTGTTAAGCCATTCTTACAGGTAAATTCGGGCTCTAATTACTTTGGGAAATACCGTTCATTCCCAATATTTTTGTTCGTTACTTAAGTGTATTAATGATATGTTTTATGGTGGTCGAAGGGACGTATTATTTTTCGTCGTGAGTTTGCATTGAAAGCATTTAAAGCGATACAGGTGTATCAATATGTCGACGATAACTCTAATTAATTTATGGATTAAACCTTTTCCTGAACTTATTCTTCAAGAAGGAACTCTGTTTTGTCGCGCCTGCTCTAAACCGGTAAGGATTTTTATACATTTGTGGACGTAGTACGCACTTTTTCTACTTTCAAAAATATATTTTATAATCACCGGCAAAACTTTTTGTTAGAATATTTCGAAACATATTTAAAAATAAACTGTTACCAAAATAGTAATGAAATAGTCGATTACTACTATTTTTTAATTTTTTCTGTTTATATTTATTTTTTAGTATAACAATATAATCTTTAAAAATGTGATTTATGTGCTAGTGTTTTGTTTTTGTAATTTGTAAATAAAATTAGTTCGATTATTACGATTTTTTTTTAATTTTTGGAGCATATGCAACTGCATATCTCTGCATATATTGAGAAAGTTACTACATATTTTCATAAATTTGATGCATATCATATGATCATATTTCCCAAAATTTTGCTGCATATTTTCCGCTCTCTAGTCATCACGTTGATAATGGGCACGACAATCTGTCCGGTAGCTTCGGAGATTATCTGTCCAATTAAAATCGACACAGACGACAAAGAGACAGACGGAAACGGGAGACTTATTTTTCATACTCTAGGGGTCACAAAACGTCGAGTAAACATTAGATATTACAATATTTCCTTAGCTTATACTTGGGGAATATAAAATACAGCAGATTGGATTATTTTTTTTATGTTCCGGATATTGCACGATGTTAAGTTCATTATCCTTTTGGAAACTATGCATTAAAAAATTTTAAACAAGTTAGAGCCAAGGGTCATGTCTAATATTTTTCCAACTTTTCACACTTGCAGAAAACGAAACTGTCTAGTCTCCCATTTCCATTTGTCTGTTCTCCCTATTCATTTTGGCAATCTTTTAGACGGAACTGATTTTGTATAAAATTTTAAACATGTTGTAATGTAAGATGCGGATGGTGAAAATTAACAAAAATTTGTATACTCGTCAGAATTTGAATTTATTATCTGACTGATGTTTTTATTGAGCTTAAATGTAAAAGGTAAAGTAAGCAGCCCGCCAGCCACCTTGCCTTTGCACTCCCATTTGAATCGGGTAGTACCAGGCAAACAAAAAGATCAGCAGGTTGTAACTATGCACCTGATAAACCAGAATACGCAAACAAAGTTTTGTGTTCCCGCATAGACTGCGCGACGAATCGCGAGGACCCGACTGGTATTAGGCGGACAGCAGTTCAGAAAGTGATACGGTGTAGAATAATATCAAATATTTAATTTATTACACTTTTAATACCACTTTTTATTCCTCCTTGTTTTTGGTTTCTAATTACGATGATCGATGAGTAACTTTCTACATCAGAACGACGATCTTGGAACATTTTCCGGGTTAGGTCCGTGTCGAATTTGAAAAGGATTACGACGGTTCGCTCACTTTCGCAGCAACACCGAAAGTAAATTTAATCTCTTTTCACCTTCGGTGTCGCTCTCTTCTTTCTAGAACTTCTCGTTCTTCGTGTCCGTTATTTCCTGAAGATGTCCTTTAAAAAGTAGCAAAACACGGAAAACGGACTTGGTAACTCTGGTCGTGACATGAATTTAAAATTATTATAGAACAATTAAATTAAATTAACACTTAAAATATAACAGTAACCACAATTTTACACAAAGTTTAATCGCATTTTGGGAAGGGCGGTTAGAGCCAAAGGTCACAATCACAAGGGCACACGCCCTCCCAAAATTACAACGTCTACAAACACACTGGACATAGCAATATTTACAAAAATATTTTCATATCTCGCCCCAATTTCTATTAAATATATCAAAACTTACATCCAAAGACATTGTGTCTTGGATATACATATCCTATATCGTTGGTAAGGTCTCGATAAAAACGACGGCCAAATCATGACTCATTTTGTTGACACCGTTGCCATGGAAACCGCGCGTCTAATCGCTATATTTGGCTGGAATCGGGTCACATTTGAAACGGTGACCGATAGCAGTAACTCAATTACCGGGGTTCATTTTCATTCTGTGCGAGTGAAATTGTTTGCTTTTCAATAAAAATAATGAATTCAGTTAAATGTGTAATAAAAAACCGTTCTTGGTTTTAAGAGGATAAAATTGTAGTGAAAAATTTAGGGAGGGCCACTCCCGATTTATTAATAAAAAAAAGTGTTCATGGAAAAACGAGAGATTTTCATAGATAGTTATAGTTAGTTCAAACAAGATTAACAAAATATGAACAAGAAGCTGTCACCAAATCGAGAAAATGATTTCTAGTGCGTAGGTTCACCAAAGTGTACTGACAGTGTGTTTAGTAAAGCTGTATCGCACTGTTCTATTTTTGTTTGTTGTAGGCGTGCATTACATTTCTTAAAACAGGCGTTTGTCGTCACTTATTTCATACACACTGTCGTGAGCAAATTGTTTTTAACCGCGGCCGAGCATTTGGACACTAACAAAATTATTTATTTGGGTGTACGCCCGTTTTAATACATACATTGGGGGTAGTCTGTGATTGAAAGATAAAACTACAAGCATAATGAAAGGATAAATGAGTAAATATGTAAATGGCGAATGACAAAATAAAAACATACAAATACAAATACACATAAAAATTATTTACGTCAACATTCATCCTTTGATAAAAACCAACTTTTAAAATTTCCGTGTCCAAGCACCCTAACAAAATGGCTGAAGGTCACCAAAATTGACCAGCAAAAGATCAAAGGCACCGACGCGAGTGTCGCTTCTTGTACATACTTTGTTAATCTTCTCTGGTTAGTTACATTGATTAAATACATATATGTATTTAATCAATGTTAGTTATAAGCAAAGTGTCTATTTATAGGCCACCAACAATACACCATAGTCAACAAAAATTTCATACGGTCAAACATTTTTCAAGTGTAGCAGCAGGCCATGATATAAATCATGTGGTTGTGGGTTGGTACAGTTTTATTAAAA